TTTGAGTCCTGTCCAGGCTGTCTGGGCCACTAACCAAGATGATGCTGGGAAGAGGGTTAGCAGAACTGGATGAGGACGAAGGGGAAAAATCAGTTCAGACAGCTCGCTTTAAATGTAATTGCTCCATCTCAAGAATCTGTCTGGCTGCAGGGCAGGTGGACCGTGTGTCTGGGCCCTGCCCAGGCTGGGGGAGGCGGTGCACCCCATGATGGAATTACTGCATCTCCAGGCACTCAGGGCCGCAGACAACGGCTCCGAGTCCTGCCAGTGCATCCCTGCCTCCCAGCATGCATGGAGAACCTTCACAGTTAATCTAATGACAATCTGCAGCCTAGAATCCCCAGAGCAGGGACAAGGCTGTGTCTGAATTGATAGCCGTTTCAATTAGCCAGAGGCCAAGGAAGGGACAGAAGGGAACGAGAGAGAGGGCCAAGTCTGGGGGGATGGGAGCTTGTCTCGGGCCTCACCAAGGTACTGAGGTGACACACCAGGAATTCCACCTGTCCTCACCTGACAGGGGCCTTTCTTACCATAAACGAGGCCAAAAAAAAGAGAAAATAAAAATGATCCTCTGCTTTTGCTCAGGGTTACTGTGACAATAAATGAGGACGTACACACCATTCTTGGTGGTTGTAGTGTTAACCCTGAGAAGGGCCAGTAGAAAGAGCACCTGACTGGGAGACAGGAGGCCGGAGTTCAGCGCTGGCTCTGCCATTGTCCACTGCTCTGCTCATCACTGGGCCATTGCCTTCCCTCTCTGGGCCTCATTCTGTGGAGACCGCACTACATCCATGGTTTTCAAACTTTTTCTTTTTCTTTTTTTTTTTTTTGAGACGGAGTCTTGCTCTGTCACTCAGGCTAGAATGCAGTGGCGTGATCTTGGCTCACTGCAACCTCTGCCTGCCAGGTTCAAGCAATTCTCTGCCTCAGTCTCCCAAGTAGCTGGGATTGCAGGCACCTGCGACCACGCATGGCTAATTTTTTTGTATTTTTAGTAGAGACAGGGTTTCACCATCTTGGCCAGGCTGGTCTTGAACTCCTGATCCACCCGCCTCATGATCCACCTGCCTCGGCCTCCCAAAGTGCTGGGATTACAGATGTGAGCCACCGCGCCTGGCCTCAAACATTTTCTTCAAATGAAACCTTCTGAAGAACTCCAATATGTAGCAGAGACAAACATACAGCCTCCAAGGTGGAAGGAGGGTGGGCTTCAGAGCAGGCTCCTCCTCATGCCCCTTGAACCATCACAGAGCGCCCAGGGGCCATGGATCACTCAGAAACAACCCTGAGCCAGACACCCACTCCTGGAGGCAGAACTTTGGCCCCCAAAGGTGTGAAGGTCTTATTCCCCAGAAGCTCTGGATATGTCACCTACATGGCAAAAGGGACTTTACAAAGGTGGTTCAGGATCTTTATCAGGGGAGATTCACCTGGGTCATCCTGGTGAGCCCAGCATAACCTCATGGGTCCTTACAAGGTAGGAGAAGGAGAGTGAGAGAAGGGGAAGTGACGTAACCACAGAGACAGAGACAGGGGCTGAAGGATGCTGCTTGCTTGAAGGATGCAGGAAGGCGCCGTGAGTCAAGGACTGCAGGTGTCCTCTAGAAGCTGGAAGAGGTAGGGAATTGAATCCCTCTAGGGCCTCCAAGGAGGACGCAGCCCTGTTGACAGCCTGGCTTTAGGGCTTCTGACCTTTAGAACTACAAGATAATACATGTGTATTGCTTTAAGCCACTACATTTGTGGTAATTTATTAAAACATCCATAGGAAATTCATATATGCCCATTTTATAATCCTGGGGGTAGAGAAACAGACTGGAGAAATTCTCCCTCGGCCCCAGCCCCTCTCCTCCACCTCTGGCCAATCAATAGGAAATGTGGCCTCAGGACTTGTCTAATTAGAGCTGCCCCATTCCCATCCCCACACCTGAGTGACCAGTGTAGGCAACTTCTGCAGCAAGCCAGGCCCAGGCCAGAGCCCAGGGCTTCTCAGCACCTCATAGACTCAGGGAGGAAACAGGCCCCTCACTGGTCCTCCCAAGTCCCTGGGCCCAGAAATGGAGGTCCTGAAACACAAGAGCTTTGCATTCCCAGCTTCAAGGTTCAGTTCTCATTGACTGATTTGTGTGTGTTGCGGGGGTTCCCCTTTTTTCTCAATGTCCTATTTTTGGGAGATCGGAAAGGAGAAGTTTAGATATAGCTCAGGAATTAAATTCAAGGATATGAATATTGATGATTCCCCTCCCTCCTGCAAATCCACTCACCGAGAGGCATTTTCCAGCCACCTACATGAGGGCTGCCACTTGTCCCCTCTCATCAGACCCACACGGATTCCAATGGCCAGTTTTGGTAGCTGGTTGTGCTCAGCAAACACACACCTGTAGGATGCCGTGGAGGGTGACTTCTGGGTCACACCAGGGCAACTGCTATACAGAGGGACTGCAGCACCCACCACCCCTAAGGAGTCAGGCCTGACAACCACAGGCCAAAGAGCTCTGCACTGGGTGAGTGGCTACCAGCCATGCCCATTCTGCTCCTCTCACTGAGGCTAGAGATACCTGAGATGCTCCCAGAGGGACACGTTGCCTCTCCCCACTCTGGGTTTACAGAGCTCTGTCCCCTGTTGGATGAGATTCCCACAAAATTCTTGGACCACATTTGTTTATCCAGAAGTATCTTCCTGGAATTTTTGAAGAACTTATGGGTGAAACTACCCAAAGACCATTTCTATATCTTTGGCAGAACTGCAGCCGAAAACACTGTCCATAAACTGCTGTGTTCTCCTGTCTTAAAAAAAAAAAAATTAACTGTCCCTCCTTGTCCCACCTCTCTCTCCAACTCCCTCTCTTTCTTTCTTCTTTCTTTCATGGCCAAACTTCTTTTAATGAACTGTCCCCATTCTTCTCTCTCCTCACCTTCCCTCTCATGCTTAAATCCATTAGCTCTGGCTTCAATACCACTACTACCATCACCACCACCTCCCACTGAAATTGTTCCTGCAAGAGTCATCTGAGGCTTCCTCGTTGCTAAATGCCAAAGACATTTTTCAGTCCTTATCTTTGCTGAGCTTTTAGTGGCACTTGGCCTAGTTGACCGTTTTGGCCTTCTTGAAATCCCAATGGCCAGCTTCGACCGCGTGCTTCCGTAGGCCTTCGTAACACTACACGTGTTTCTGTATGCACCTCCCTTTGCTGATTATGTGTCCTCCACCAAGCCGTGAGATGTCCAAGTTCTCAAGGTCCAGTCCGAATCCTCTTCCCATTCCGTCTCTCCCTGGGGCTTTGAGGCAGCCTCCCAACTTTGCCCACATCCTATACACTGATGACTCAAAACTTGATCTCAATGGCCAGCTCTCTCCTGGGCAGCAGAACCATGTGCAGGCAGACATTTCTTCTGGGGCATCCTTTAGGATCTCAAGAACAACCGTTCCGCACTGAACTCTTTAGTTTCCCCAAATAACCCTGCCCCTCTTCCTGGGTTCCCCATCTAATGAATGCCCATCAAGCACCCTGAGTCACCAAGCGTGGAGCATGGGAGTGACTCTAGCCTCATGCCTCCTTCCCCGCCTACATCCCATCAATTCTAGACGCTGAACACACACTCTTTCTCTGTTTCTTTTTTCTGTCTCTCTGTCTTTTCCCCCAGTCTGCCCACTTTTCTCCAAGCAAAGGCTCACTCTAGTCTCCGTCACTATCATTCCTCATCCAGGTTCCTGATCTCACTGCTTATAGTTTTGGTCCCCCTGCAGTTCAAGTTAAAGTTATCTTTCCAAAGTGCAGTCAACCACATCCAACCCTTCAAGGGCTTCCATTGCCTTCAGGGGAAAGTGTAACTGCTCTCTGCTATGTCTGCTATTCAGAGGCTCCTGCTTCTCTCTCCAACCTTCTCCCTCCTCACTCTCCTCTGGCCCTCTGCACAGAGGCCATGGCTGACGCCTCTTGCTGTGTGACATCCTCTGCCCCCAAACAGTCTTCACCCCTCACTTCTACATAATTTCTTTTTCTTTGTTTTCGCGATGGGAGTCTTGATCTGTCACCAAGGCTGGAATGCAGTGGCATGATCTTGGCTCACTGCAACCCTCACCTCCTGGATTCAAGTGATTCTCCCACCTCAGCCTCCAGAGTAGCTGGGATTACAGGTGCGTGCCACCAAGCCCCGTTAATTTTTTGTATTTTTAGTAGATACAGCTTTCACCATTTGGCCAGGCTGGTCTTGAGCTCCTGGCCTCAAGTGATCTGCCCATGTCAGCCTCCCAAAGTGCTGGGATTACAGGCATGAGTCACCATGACTGGCTGAGTCAATGTGCCTCTACCCAATTTCTGTGAGTGTTTCAAATCTTAACTAAGTGTCACTTTCCCTAGGAAACTATCTCCCCCCTCAATTCCTCCAGGTCTGGGTTAGATGTCCTTCCAATTACTCACAAAATAACTTGTTTACCTCTTAAACCACTACTTATTAAATTCTCTTAACAAACGCTTTTGGAAACCTCCCTGATATGTGGAAAACCAACAAACAGCAAGACAAACCAGACCCCTGTCTACACGGAGCCTAGAGTCAAGCAGGAAACACAGACATTAAAACAGCAAAGTCCAGAGGAGGAGGAGGAAGAGGAGGAGGAGGGAGGAAGGGAGGAAGGGAGGGAGGGGAGGTAGGAATGGGAGGAGAAATATAAAAGAAAAAAACAGAAACAGCAAAGAGCACAAATGCTTCCGCTCACCAGGCATCAGCTGATGAGACCAGCATCTTGTGTACTTCCTCTATTTGCTGAATGAATGAATTTATTTTACCCAACATTCTTTATATACAGCCCCAGGTGATAAATTCCTTCTAGAACTCTGTGCCAGAGGGGGAAAGTTTGCCTTCTCTGAACACTTGTTTCTTTCAATTAAACAAAGAGACTAAGAAATCTGTCATATTGCTCTTTTTGTCTTGTCTGCCAAAAAGTTCAGAGTCAAATTTAGACCTCAGTCACAAGGAAATATGTAATTTCTTTTTTTTTTTTTTATTACATAAATTAACCCATTTATTATAGGCCAGTGATGTCTCAAAGAGTAGAGGAGCGTCTACTGGTCTTTCAATTCCTTCAGTCTTCTGATGGCGGACTTTACTGTGACAGCGGAAGTGGTATTGTACGTCCAGGCACCGCCAGCCACTGTCTTCATGCAGGAACCACAGTGCCAGATGCCCACAGCTCGTCTCTTCATCTTGGTTTTGCCACAGAAAGAGCAAGTGTACTTGGCATGCTGGCTGATTTCAATTTTCTTCACCATTTTCCGGAGGGAGGCCCCATAGCGGGTCCCGTATTTACCGACGATCCCAACCTTCTTGGTACGTTTGGCCATGTTGCCGGTCCGAGCCCAGAGGGTAAATATGTAATTTCTGGCTTCTGTCACCACCTCTCCTTATCCAGCTACTTTCTCTTTCATCTTTTTTTTTTTTTTTTTTTTTTTTTTTTTTTTTTTTTTTTTTAGTTTGGTTCTTCCTTTCTCGCCCAGGATGGACTGCAGTAGTACAATCATGGCTCACTACAGCTTCAAACTCCTAGACTCAAGGGATCCTTCCACCCCAGCCTCCCAAGTTGTTGGGACTACAGGTACATGCTGCCATGCCAGATAATTTTTTAATTTTTTGTTTTTATTTTTAGATATAGGGTCTCACTATGTTGGCCAGGCTGGTCTTGAACTCCTAGCCTCAAGCTATCTTCCTGCCTTGGCCTCCCAAAGCACTAGGATGACAGGAGTGAGCCACTGTGCCTGGTCTCTTTCCCTGTAAACTAACATATGTGTTTTTACCTTAACCCCTGCCTGCCAATCCCTCATGGAAGCAGGTAGAACAGAGACTTGACATGCAGTGACCCCTTCCAGACTGGCCCCAGCAGGAGATGGCACCCTTGTCCCAGCCCAGTGCTTCCACGGTGGCACCCATACTGCAGTCTGAGGCCTCCTCCTGCCCCCAACCCTAGCCAGCCACAGAGTTCAGGGACATGAGTAGCCATGGCTGTACCTCCCTCCTCCCGGGTGGTAGATGTCCTATTTAAAGAGCCAGGCCTCCAGGACCTTAACAAAAAGCAGAATGAGAGAAGGAAATGCCATATAAGGAACAGGCTGGGGGGAAGGGGTGAGCAGAGGTTCAGGGCAGGGAGCCCCTAGGTGAGACTCACCGTTAAGCTGTGGTCTCTCTTCCCTTCAGCACCCTTGGTCCCAGCAGAGGGGCTGAGGGCATTAATGCCCAAGAGATGTGAGAAATGTCTTCTGGTGCGTCTGACTAGGGGCCTAGTCTGACCCTCAGACCAACAGTTTTACACTAACAGAGTCTATTAGGGAGTTTTTGCACTGCTATAAAGAAATAACTGAGACTGGGTAATCTATAAAAAAAAGAGGTTTAATTGGCTCAGTTCTGCAGGCTGTACAGGAAGCATGGCCCCGGCATCTGCTGGGCTCCTGGAGAGGCCTCGGGAAGCTACAATGGCGGTGGAAGGCGAAGGGGGAGCAGGCAGGTCCCGTGGCGAAAGCAGGAGCAAGAGAAAGGGCTGGGGAGGTGCCACACACTTTTAAGCAGCCAGATCTCTTGAGAACTCACTCAGTATCATGAAGACAGCACCAAGCCATGAGGGATCCGCCCCCATAATTCAAACACACACCCCCAGGCCCCACCTTCAGCATCAGGGATTACAATTCAACATGAAACTTGAGCAGGGACAAACATCTAAACCGTATCACCAGGTTGTGAGCAACTCTGTCTCAGGGTGAGATCATGAGGCTGTCTCCAATGTGCCCTATGGCCCGCCTCTGCCATGCTGTTCCTCTGTAACCCAGCTGCCCGTGTAAAAGTCCATCACTTGGTGAGTGCCTTCTGGGAGTCCCCAGAGTGCACAGCTGTCACTGCAGAACAGATGCAATCACTGTTCCCAACTAGATAGGGATTTTCTCTGAATAGAATCCCTTACCAGTGTATGACATTTTTACAAAATACTGTCACGCACTTGTTTTTCTGTAAACTGACTCCCATAACCAACCCTGCAATGTAAGCAGGGTATATATCATTCCCATTTTATAGACGGGAAAACAGGCTTGAAGAGGCTAAGTGACTTGTACAAGACTAAAACCCAGGACTTCCTCCTGAGAGCAGGACCATGTCCAGCTTAGGTACTTATAATGCCACTTCCCCGCCCAGGACAGGGACACAGAGGTGTGTGTGCTCAGTAGGATGTGGAGTTAAAGCATTCACCTCCCACACACCCCCAGCAAACTTTGCTGCCTTCTCCGAAAGCCAAAACACTGCATGAGAAAATGCACCAATACGAATGCCATTGGCAACCTTGGTAGCTCTCTGCCTGACTTCAACCACACATGAGGGTCTTAGCAACATGGCTTGAAGTGAGAAAGTCACTTTTTAGATGCTCCAGCTCATCCTGTGATCAAGGTCAAAGACAGAGTTTCAAAGCATGAGAGCTGGAAGGGAGCTTACAGATCGTCTAGTGACCCAGTTCGGTGTCTGCTTTGTCATGGCTGGCATAGTCCATTAATCCTAATTTGGGTGGCGGAGCTGGGTCATGAACCCCTTTGCCTGCCAGACCAGCGGTCTTTCTTGGTGGTGGGATACTGCTCCAAGCTCTTGTGTTGTCACTGAACAGCACTGAAGGCTGTCTGGAGCCAGCAATGGGATGTGTCTGCCATAGATGAGCAAACAGTAGGGTCTTTCCACTCCTTTCTTTTTGCCCCTCCAGGACCCTTTACTGAAGTGGACACCTGACACCTGTGTGTCCCCAGCACCCTTTCCTTTGCCATCTGGTAAAAACACACTGCTACCCCTTTGAAAGAACAACCTTCCCCAACTTCATTTGTGCCGGGTTTGCCTATTTTAGGTCCTTCTGCCCCTTCACCACAGGGCTGGACACATGACACAGACCAGACAGTCACAGTACGCCATCTCAGAGATGCACACGTGGCCTAACCAGGCCCAAAGACTTCTCTAAGACTGGTATATGCTTCCTAGTGTGAGAGAGTGTCTCTTCCTCCAGGGCAGCAATAGACTGGGAAAGAGGAACTGCTGAAGCCATCTTCTTCTTTTAAGACAGAGTTTTTGCTCTTGTTGCCCAGGCTGGAGTACAGTGGCTCAGTCTTGGCTCACTGCAACCTCTGCCTCCCGGGTTCAAGCAAGTCTGCTGCCTCAGCCTCCCGAGTAGCTGGGACTACAGACACATACCACCATGCCCAGCTAATTGTTGTATTTTCAGTAGAGACAGTGTTTCACTATGTCAGCCAGGCTGGTCTTGAACTGCTGACCTCAGGTGATCTGCCCACCTTGGCCTCCCAAAGCGCTGGGATTACAAGCGTGAGCCACCATGCCCAGTGTTTATTGTGCCACATAACTGATTAATACAGCATATCTGTCACTCCTACCCTTTGGGCTCCTTGAAGACAGGCGCTGGTGTCTTATCCATTGTTAGCTCCCCAGCGATGAGCACAGCTTCTGGCCATGAAAGGAAAGAGGGAGGGAGGGAAGGGAGAGGACAGAGGGAAGAAGGGGACTTTCAGTTCTCAGGCACCTTTCTACGAGGTTTGACATTCTGAGTTCAATGAAGGAGGGACCCATCCATACACTGATGGGGAAACTGCTGTTGGTACCTACTATTTACTCTGGAGATTCTGCTTGGGGCTACGCTAATACTGGGGGGCTGATTTCTAAGAACACATCCCATATGCTATTGTCCAGGCTGTGGCACCAAGGCTCTCAAATGCTCACTCATCAGCCTGTAGTTTGAGGGTGACCATAAAGCCATCTTTGTCCACTTCTGCCCCCGTGACAGTCAGGCAGGATTAGGCTGGTGAATACCTGAGTACACAGTACCACAGCAAACCTGCCACAGAAGCCTGCTAATCACACCCAGCTGACACTTGCCATTCACAAGCGCAAGGCATTTTAAAGTGTCTCGTTAAAATAGGGAGCAGGATTAAGAGGCCCCTTCTTGATTAATGACTTTCTCTGCCTGAGAGATATAATCCTATCTGTAACCCCAAATAAACCCCAAATAACTAGAAGCAAAATCAGATTTCTACCATGAGATCGTTTAGGGCACGTGTTGACCGTGCCCCTAAATCTTATTTTCTTTACATATTTTATCCAGCTTAAGGACATAAGATATTCTGACACCCCAAACCAGAACTGTTTTGCAAGAGGTAGCAGCAGTGACAGAAGGGGATTTCCCTGGCTTTTCTAAGGCACTAAGGAATTTATTTGTTGAAAAGAACAACCACTCTCCCTTACGGAAGGACGTGTATAGGTGCATACACAATATCTAGAGCACTCATCTCGTCAGATCCTTTTAGGGAAACAGGCAGCCATCAGTAAATCAAAAGTAAAAGCTTCTTCTATTGACTCATTGTTTCCTTCTTTGAATCTGTTATTGTGCAAAAATTCAGAGGGTCATGAACTATTCAAACTGGAAGGGACTTTTAAGACCCTTAGTCGGCCGGGCGTGGTGGCACACGCCTGCAATCTCAGCACCCGGGAGGGTGAGACGAGCAGATTGCTTGAGCTCAGGAGTTTGAGACCAGGCTGGGCCACATGGTGAAATCCTGTTTCTACAAAAATACAAACAAAACAATTAGCCAGGGGTAGTGGCGCATGCCTGTAGTCCCAGCTATACAGGAGGCTGAGCTGAGAGGATCACTCGCACCCAGGAAATCAAGGCTGCAGTGAGCAGTGATCATGCCACTGCACTCACAGAGTCAGGACCCTGTCTCCAAAAAAAACAAAAAAAAAATCTCTTAGTCAAACCCTATAACCTGACAGATGAAGAAAGTGATGCCCAGAGAGAGGAGGGGACTTACTCAGAATTACCCAGTAGTCACACACATTCTCTCTCTCTCTCTCTCTCTCTCTCTCTCTGTTCCTCTCTTCCCCGTCACTCCCCCTAGAATGGGTATCACTCTGTTGCCCAGGCTGGGGTACAGAGGCATGATCATAGCTTCCTGCAGCCTCAAGCTCCTGGGCTCAAGTGATCCTCCTGCCTCAACCTTGTGAGTAGCTTGGTCTATAGTTGTATGCTACTACACCTGGCTAATTTTTTAATTTTTGTTTTAGGAAAGGGTCTCACTCTGTTGCTGAGGCTGGAGTTCAGTGGAACAATCATGACTCACTGTGGCCTCCACCTCCCAAGTTCAAGCAATCTTCCCACCTCAGGCTCCCAGGTAGCTGGGACTACAGGCAGGCAACACTATGCCTGACTAATTTTTAGATTTTTTTGTAGAGATGGGGTTTCACTATGTTGCCCAGGCTGGTCTTGAACTCCTGGGCTCAAGTGATCCACCCATATCAACCTCACCAGGGTGCTGGGATTACAGGCATGAGCCACTGCACC